TAATTAGAGTAGCTAAAGACCAAAAAGTATACCTGGGCATGCTGATGAGATCATAGGAACGGATGACTTGCATTTTTCTTCATTGACCGACTGGCTTTGTCGGTACCTTGCTATAAACTCCTTGCAAGCTTCAATTAAGGTTAAATCTCTACTGCAACTTGTATCAAATATAGCTTTTACTCCCATGGACTTCAAAAATGTCGTGAGTTTCTTAAAACCTGAGCAATGCAAAACACTATATGTAGTTATTGCCTTCATAAATATAAGCATTTTGAGCATTGTAATGACATAAATACAACTTTAAAATTCACCACCCAATCACGTTAAAAGATTTTCCTCGTGACCCTTGTCAATGAATAAAACTCATGATAATCATGGGAAATGATTTAAACAGAAAACTCAAATTTTACCTTTAAAGGGGAGATACCAAAATGTACAGCGAGTGAGGCTCTAGATTGGGGAGATAATGAGACAGTTACAACCTTTCCATTATCTATGTTGGAAAGAAATTCATCCAAACTTTGCTTCTCCAGCATCACTGTCTATGCTGATGTTACACAACCACTACAATTATACATAATTAGGTCTATTACACTCCGTCGCGAGGGAAAGATAGGAAGTACAAGGCAAATTAAAGAGCAATAATCCATATTCAATTACATATTCCAACTCAATACTATGAAATCAGGGAGTTCCAAAACTCAGTTTTCATAAATAATCTGATAAGTGGTTTATCAGAAATGTCAAAGTTGTTCAAATACATCACCTTGTATTCAAAACGTTCCAGAAATTCCATTTTATCCAGATACATAGAGTAAAAGCAACTTATACCAAATTGAAAACCCAGTTTAAAGTTTAGACCATCAAACCAGCTAGATCCTTGAGAAAATAGTTCACAATAGCGATTGTTTTGGTAAAAAGTACCTGCATGCTAAGCAATCCTTCAGTGAAATTTTAACTGGCTCTGCTTTCAATTGCTTCCTAGAAGCCGAAACCTAGATAATATATGCAGAAATGAAGGGGAGAAACACACAAAAAAGCAAAGAGAATCAATAAATGGAAAAATTATGAAAGAACCACTCGGTTTTTAAGCGTGGTAATTCCTACAGATTACTCAAAACCAACAGCACAAAAATCATCAACGACAGGTACATCAAATGGAAAAAGTACCTCAACTTTATCCGGCTTCGTGGTCGTGGCTTTAAGCCCCTTGAGAGAAACAACGCAAGCCTGAGAAGGCGCAATGAAATCATTCAGATCGCCTATCCTCAATGTTGCCGAGAATTTCTCAGACATCTCCTACTTGCCCGATTCCAAATCAAGAACTAACAAAATGAATAAAACAGAACCCAATAAAAATAGCCACACAAAAAAGAAAGAAGAATCAAAACTCCAAGGAAACTTCCCGAAATGAATTAGGGCTTCAAGGCACGCAAAACCCTGAAAAGAGAAGGATAGAGATAAGAACAAACTGAAGCCGTCCGTCAGAGTCAGAGCCGGTGACCTTACCAGAAACTTGGAGCGGCCTAATCACTGGAAGCTAATAGAAATGATCCCAAGCAGAGCGACAGGAGAAGGGTTTTAGGGGAAAATATAGGAAAGAGAAAAGACGGCGGATATGGACGTGTAGAAGAACGGCGGATGATGGGGCTGTAATGAGAGGGTATTGAAGGGCAGAGCACGGTCCCGGTCCCGGCGCCGGCGATGAGGAGAAACGGCAAAACGGAACAAAGAAAGGAACTGCGTGAAACAGAGTGACGGCGGTCGGAATCGGTCCACGACGAGGATCTGCGATGGCAACCAAGAGCTCCAGAATTGGTGGAGAATCTTTATAGAGTTTTACACCAGAATTATTTTGAACGCTCTCCACGTGGAAACCAATTTTGATTCTTTCACCTTCAAAAATGTTGGGAATTTGCCAAAATTAGGACCAAATAAATTAATAGTTTTCAACTTTTTTAAAAAAAATATATAATTATAAAATTTACCCTTTATCTTATTAAAAAAAATTTTAAAAAAATTATTTAGGTATATTATTTACCCCTCATAAATTATCTCCAAATTTTTTAGTGGTATGATTTTTTATTTTATAGGACAAAGGGTATGAAATTACTATATTATCCTTTCTTAAAACATCCCTACTTAAAACACCTCAATTCCAACTATGATTAATTTGTCGATTTTTCCTTCTCCGTTCAAACTTTTCGCCCACCAGTTGAATACATGTCACATTCTGAGTAGACCAACATGTCTAACATCTAACCCGAGGCTCGACTCAACAGTCAGCATCTGCAACCTAATTCGCCCCCTTTACCTGTTCTGATCAGGAGGCACGTATCCACATGCACCACGGTCAAGTAGGGAGCACGCATCTCCTCCCCTTAGGCACGTCTGTATGCACGCATAGCTTTGCACGTGGGGAGCCCTTCAGATGCATGAGTGCCACTTTTTTACCTGTTAGACCTCTATTCAACTATTTTTCATCCCAATTTTAATGTTAAACATAATTTTACTTGAAATAGGACCACGAAATTTGGAGCTTCCGACAAGCTAAAAAGTAAGTTCAGCCTTCATCACAATAAGTAGTCACATGAACTTTCTGAATATTGTACTTATGAAAAATTATGAAAATTCCCCTGGGATGCAAATTTAAGTTGCATGCCTATTTTAATGTTTTCGGTTGTGATAGAATGGAGGATGAAATATTATGATCTGTGCTGTTAAGGATATTTAGTAATAAATTATAGTTTACCATATATATTATATTTGATATTTTATTATAAAGCAAATATCTAATATTAGCCTTATTATCATAGGTATCTTTCCATTTATTGCTATTTCCATTTATTGTTATTTTCATATCCTTGTAATTCATTTGATTATAAATAAGATAATTTTCACACCATTTAGGTGTGGTGGATTAATCAAACATTCACATGTGCTCTAGGGTGATTGATGGATGTTGTCTCCCCGTTGAGTTTACTTATATGTTTCTAAGTTATGAATTATGTGTTTCGGTGTTTGATAGAAATATCTCTCTAATAAGTGTGTAAGAAGGTTTTTAATACGTTCCTCATGCTTAAGGTGATCGATAAGAATATCTCTGTAATAAAGCATGTTTGTACCAAGCTGAATTTAGGGCGCTAGAGCTAGAGCGTTCTTCGAGTTGACCTAGGTCAATACGTTTCTAGTGGATTTAGCACTATAGAGAGTGTAGAAATGGTAGGAACGTTTCTAGTGGTAGTTAACTCTTCTATTGTGTGTAGAAATGGATCAAGGCTGATGTTGTAACACTGTAAACAAAGAGAGGGTTGGGATTATACAGATAGTTACTTTAAGGTGAGGGCTTCTATTGTGTCTAGAAATGGATCACGGTTGAAGTTACGACTTGTTAAATTGGCCTCGAAGAGAGATTTGAGACTACACAAATAGTTATTTCAAGGTGAATGTTTCTATTATATGTAGAAACGGATCAAGGCAGACGTCGTGATTTCGTAGACGGGTCTCGAAGAGAGATTTGAGGCTAGATAGATAGTCATTTAGAGATGAACGTTTCTATTGTGTGTAAAAATAGATCAGGTTGACACTGCAATTTTGTAAATGAGTCTTAAAGATGGACTTTGTTGGTTCATGTTAGTTGTTGTTAGAATTTCGAGGCATCCTAGATGATCCGATAGGAATAGAGACTAGACACGAATTTCTTAAAGCCTAAGTAAAGCCCGTAGATATCTACTAAGGATATGATGAGAGCGGTTGCTTATTAAGTATTTTTATACTCGCCCCGATAAGGAATCACTCTAACGAAAAGTAAGATTCGGATTCCTTTGTGTTAATTAAAAACTAAAAAAATAAAAATAAATAAAAACCAAATTGAAAAGAAACCCTAAGGAAACATATATTTAGTCTTGAGCTTAAACTTCAGATACCAAAGGATAAGAAATAAGATTCGGATTACTTTGTTCATCGAATATCTCAAGGAAATATCACTTTATTTGAGATTTTAATCACTCCACAAAAAAATTGATCATGTAAAATTTATTTGATTCTAAACTCACGTACAAATCCAACGAGTGTGTGAAATCTCGATATTTCGAGGCAATTTTTCCAATTTTAACTTATTTATGCAATACTATAGTTTTAGGGTCATTTTTTGCAAATCCCTATTTTAGGGCTATCCTATATATATGATTTCTTTGAGAGGCTCACATAAATTTTTGGTGTTGTATTCTGAGTCATAGTAAGGAAGATTCTATGGAGAATACTCCGACCTTGTTTGAATTGAAGCAAGAACATTCAAACCATCCAGAATTTTCTCTATAGTTACTCTAAGGTAAGTTTGTTTGACTAGATTTGTTTAATTTGAATAAATTAAAGACGATTTTAGTTTTTCCATCCTTTATTTCTATATGTTGATCTTCCATTTCTTGGGCCATCATGCTCACATATCGTTCCATTGGATCCTATGTTGGCTAATTTAGAGGAAGATCATAAGTTTATAAGTAGGAAGTGGATTCTTAACATAGTATAGAGTCATTTACTTAACTTAGCTGACATTGACTTAGTCATGCCAATAGAATCCTCAAGCATCAAACAAGGTGTACTATTCTTTGAGTGTAACAAAAGATGTACTATCCTTTGTTCGATGCCAATATAATTCTCAAGCGTCAAACAAAGGGTGTACTACTCTTTGAGTGTAACAAAAGATGTACTACCCTTTGTTCGGAGCACTAGAGAGCCCTCAATGGAGGCTCTATGGTATACTTTGTTTGAGAAAAAAATTGTTGAGACCTATCTAACTAAGAGGAAGGTCCCAATGCCGATGCTAATGCCAACGCCAATGCCGATTATGGTTTCGAGATTCAACTTTCCGATTTCTTTCGCCATATCCCGGATAGTGTATTATGGATCTAAATTCCTAACCTAACAAATATGATAAATGAAGAATACTCAATTTTGAGCCAGATTATCAGCTTGAGCTATACGAATCAAATTGTCACAAATAAAATTTTATTCCTCAACTTATAACTTTATTTCTGAACGATGCACCATAGTTTTTTAAGAGAAATAAGTACCTAAACATACATTTCTTTAACCAGAATCACAAAAAATCCTAACATTTCCTAGCAGAAACATGGAGTGTCCATCAGGATAAGGATATGGAGGTCTGATGGTTATTGATGAACTTGAAAAGCCTACCATCTTGGGTTACTCTTGCTCTTGCCACCATTGTAAAGGCGGAAGAGACTGAAAGCTGAAATGCAAGACAGCGCCACCATGCTCAGACTAACCACCACCGCGCTTGCAAGTCCTTCCCCAACTTGGTTGCAGAACTTTTTGTACAGATCGCATATCTTCATCCACTGCAACTCCGGCTGCCCCAACTTCCCAATCACTGCTGATTGGGCGGCCGATGCCACTGCTGCCACCGTGACATATGCCATGATCTGCACAAGTAACTTTACTTGTCAAACTGGAACGTTATTCGCCCTTATATTCTTAAGAACTCTCATAATAAACTTATGCTCAAAGTGGACAATATCATACCATTGTAGAGTTCGTATGCACTAGAGAGAAACGTGCAGATACTCTAACCAAGGCTCTAGCAAGGGTTCAGTTTGCAGAGATGAGGGAATTGCTGGGAGTGAAGAATCTCAAACAAAATCAAGTTTACGGAGGAGATTGTGAGCTGAGAAACTTGAGCTAGTTGAACAAGTTACTAACTTATAGTAACTTTAGTACTAATTGTTATTAGACTTAGTAGAACAAGTTACCAACTTATGAAGTAACCTTAGGAAAATTATTAGTACACTGAGTAGAATAAGTTACTAACTTGTTCAACTAGCTCAAATTTATTAGCTCACATTATTTATGAACATGAGAAATAGGCTTCAGTTACGATATTTTCATAATGTGGGGTGCAGCAAGTTATATTGGTCGATAAACAAGTATTTGGACCAGAGTTTTAAGATATTATTTTCATTGAAAAGCAAATTTTAAGACCAGAACTAATCTTCTTTGGAAGTGCCACCATGATGTGCACGAATTTCTTTTACTCTGTTTGTAGTCAACCACAAATAATTTAATTAAAAAGGACTTTGTACAAGTTTTAACCGCAAAGGGGCAATAATGAAACTTCTGGAAGTATCAGAACTGAAGTAATTTAAACTATGGTTGAAATCTATGGAGTAAAAAACTTGTGATTTAACCAAAACTAAACGACAACACGTAAAAAATGTATGGACAAATGGCAAGATATCATAGAACAGAGGTTGGTAGAACCAAAGTTTAATGGAAACTTGCATTTATTCATGTTATAGCCATATAAGAAGTGATATTCCCTTAGTCCATGATAATGGAATCTTTAGTCAATAACAATCCAAGTCATGAATCGATTAATCATGGTCAGAATCAAAGATTACTCGCAGCAGAAGAGATAAGAAACAAGCAAAAGCATACAAAGAACATTATTCCTGTGTAAAATGGTCATCAAGTTTATTCAGTGAAAATAGCAAAAAGGGCTAAAAAGTTTAGATTTACAAAGGGAATTTCCCAGGTCTATATACTGTACCTGATCGCCAGAGAAAATGATCCAAGCTAAAGGCTTGCTGAAGAGCACAGTCCCTCTCACCATGTTTACCACACATCTTAGTCCTTGTGCCATAGAGTAAGCTGCAGCTATTGCATTTGCTACCACCAAAAACCTGTGTTATATCTTAGTATCAGAGAAGCAAGAGGAACCGCTGTAATAATTTTGTGCTAATTTTTTAGCCTACAAGGGAAAATCATCATTCTTAATCTTGTACAATTAAGGGTTTGCGTTTAGTAATAGTTTAATTTGCAACACCAGAATCTAACAAACAAACATATTTCCATCGCTGGGTCAAATCCAACAAAAAGGCTAGTAACTGTAAATGGGCAGGACCAATATCATCTCAGAAGTTTGTAGTAGTTAATAGGTAGGACCAAACTCGGACCAAGTACAGAAACAAAATACACTGTTACTGTCAGGCTCAAACATACAAACAAAGAGATGGAAAGAGAGACAGAGACAGAGAGAGATTACACAAGAGCTTTCATGTCCGTGAATTTGGCCCTCTTTCGAATGGAAAAGATATATTTAACTTCAGTATCAGTCCCCACAAGAACAGCAGCAAGAACTCCAAGGCCACATATCACAAACCTCAACACCAACTCAACCACTCTCACCCTCTTATCAAACACCTTCAAATTCGAGGTATGATACACAGGGACATTCCCAGGGCTAATACCAACGCCAGAGTAGCTCATTTTCTCAACCCCAACACCCAAATCAAGAGAGAGAAACACTAACTTAAAAAAAAAACCGCCTCAATTTTCAGTCAGACATTTCATCAAACACTTGTGGGGCATGCACAAAGGCACCCTTCTTATAAGCCGCTCCGCACTAGCGCCAATTAAATACGTGACAACAACGGGTAAAATTGAATAACATGTTATATAAGGTAGCGAAAAATCGCAGCAAAGTTAGCAAAATCAAGACGAGTGGCGAAAACGGAGATTCTGGAAGCGGGTTTAAAGATTTTACAGATGAAGGCACCTCATGCTGCGAAATAAAGGCGGGCTTTAATGGAGTCGATCTCAATCTGGTTCGGCATTGAATGGCATTACTGGGAGGTATTTGTAGAGAGTGAATTTAATGGGTTTTCTTAATGGTTTTCATTTCTAGGAAGAAGAAGCTTTCTAGTCCCGAGAAAGCGTGGCGACAGATAAGGTGGGGACGCCGACACTTTTATAGCTGAAATATCACCTTAATTCAATACAATTTTCAATATTTTCAATATACCTTAAAATTCACATTTAATTATAAATGAATAAAATTCTCAATAATTAATCAAACCAAATAATTCATTTTAATATTTAATATTTAATATTATAGAGAATAAATTAAAATTTTTCAAAAAAATAAAATTTCTCAATTTTTAAGGGTTTTTTTTTTTTTTTTAATTTTGTGTCTTGCACATAATCATCATATTTTTAAGTTATTAAATTTATTAAAATGTTATTTATTTCTTTAAACCCTTAAGCTACAAAAATTGTAAATGTTTTTAACGTATTAATTATATTTAATTTCACAATTAAAAATATGGGTTAAAATTGACTACTCATATTTAAGAATTAAAATTATTTATGTTTTTTGAAAACTACGAACATCAATGAATCTTCATCACCAATCCTCTTTATTAATATAGTTGGTGCCGATTAAATTTGTTATTTAATTTAATTTAATTTCATTTCATTTCATTTTTTAATAATAATAATAATAAGGTCCAAAAATGACAATAGGGGATGAGCTTGAGTTGTTATAGTTGGTATCAGAGCCAGACACGGGGCGATGTGTCAGTTGGGAAGTTGTTTCCCAGAGAGGTTTGACCTGAGGCGGTGTGCCAATAAAAACACTGGCCCCAAAGGGAGGGGGGGAAGTGGATTTGGTGTGGATCCCACATTGATTGGAGAAAAAAACGAGTGTCGACGAGAACGCTGGGTCCTGAAGGGGGTAGATTGTGATATCTCACATTGGTTGGGGAGGAGAAGCCCGAAAGGAAAAGCAAAACAACATTATTTTCTTCCTTATATTCACAGGTATTGTTTTGTTGTTGTGAGACCCTACATCTGTTTCAAGAGAAAAACAAAGTATTCCTTAGAACGGTGTGAAAATCTCTCCCTAGCAAACATGATAACGACAAGAATCTGGACATTATTAGTACAATAAGTGGATGATAGTGGTTGGGGGAGGAATGATTAAATTTGGGATAAATTTTAAAAGCATTCACATTGTTGTTGGTAGGCCATTGTATGCGGTAGGTAAAATGACTCAATTGGTCACCCTTCACGTGATGTAATCAAAATTAATTAGGTCAATATGGTAATTTCTTCCTCTATTCTTTTTCATTTCTAATTAAAGCAATAATCAAGTTTATTCTTTAAGTTTCTTTCGTAGTCTTTTTTTTTTTTTTTTTTTTTTTTTTTTTTTTTTTTTTTTTTTTTTTTTTTNTTTTTTTTTTTGTTTTTTTTGTTTTTATAGGTTCCGAGTCAAGGGAATGGGCCCTTTGTTTTCTAATTTTCATGTAAAGGACCAGACGTGTTTAACACCCGTGGTCTTCCATTAATGGAATATGTTTTCTTTTAACAAAAGTTTCGCTTATGAATGAATCAATGGTCACATTCAAGAGACTCATTTATGGGTATGAAATGATGTGAAAATAACTTTTTATAGAAAAAAATGCAAAACGGGGGATTTGAGCTTGCAATAAAGATGTGAGTGCAAAACGAGATAGTATACGACGGATATGGAGGGAATTTTTTATACAAGTTCTGAAAAAGTTATGCAAGATGTCGAGAGGGAAGAAAGGTACGTAGGAATCACGTGCACGTGCATTGCAAAAAGGTGTAGGCATGTGGGAGTGTGTGGCTGGGTTCGTCTTGTCCCATTCAACTCTGGTTCGACTATTTTGTGATTCATTATCTATATTAACCTAAAAGTTATTGATTATAAGTTTAACGGTAGGAATTTGGAGAATAATAACTAAGGTAGGAACGTTTTAGGTGAGAAAGGAAATTATTGACACAAGTAGCAGCAGCTCGGAGCTTCCAAGCAAAATTTAAACTTGTAATATGTGATGAGCATATTGAATATGTGATTAGGGACTCGATCATGTTGGTTTGTGCTAGGTTGCATGACTAGTGTATTGGTAATGACTATCATCTCTGTTATGCCCTAGAGATTCACCAAACGAATCCTTGTTGTAATTATGCCTTGTGTGACAAGGGGCCCGCATATACACTTTATAACATTGCCAATTAGTCTACTAGGCCCTAGCAGAACCACTTGACTGACACACTAAGTGCTAAGTTAAGACTATGAGTATGTCTGGCCGTTTGACTGGTAGCCACTTCAAGCTCAAGAGAGCATGGTAGACAAGCCGTATTTGATTGAGAGTCTTAAATACGAGCTTGAAGATCATAAATAGAGATGGGGAGAAGTTTTTCTGGATACCTTGAAAACCCCGACACAACCTATGGAACCTAAAGTTCCTTGAGCATAGAAAACTCACACCCTTGGAAGGATGCCCATCACTAGTAGTGGTTCGAGAAGCAACAAAAGACGAGAACTCGAGCTAGAAATAGGATAAGTGATCCAAATTAATGAAATGAATTGATATTTAATATAATTTTTTTCTTTATTTTGAAAATACCTTTATTTTTTAAAAATTGCAATATTATCGGGTGGCAACCAAAACTAGTACAAATCTAAAGCATAGTAATTGGTAAAGGCACCGTAGAGATTTTGCACCCTAAAACGATATACTTAGTTTATTCTCTCCAACCAATGAGAAGTCTCACAATGCACCCCCTTCGTGGTCCAACATTCTCGTTGGCCTCTTTAATCGATGTGGGGCAGTGTGTTAGCGAGGACGTTGAGCGGTGGACACTGGGTGGTGTGCCAGCAAGGACGCTAAGCCTCAAATGGGAGTGAATTGTGAGATCCCACATCGATTGAAGAGAGGAACGAGTGCTAACTAGGACGCTGAGCCCCGAAGGAGGTGGATTGTGAGATCTCACATTGATTAGAGAGGGAAACGACGTCATTTTATGAGTAGTTAGATTTTTCTTTTTCTTTTTCTTTTATCATATTCCATTTATTTAGATTTTTGCTAGTAACTATTAAAACTAGCCAAAGTTAGTTGTGAACCGAGTTAAAAACAGAGCCAAGAAAAATGTGAGTTTTTTATTCTCGGTCCAATTCTAGAATCTATTAAAATTGGTCAAAGATAATGGTTAACAAAATTAAAAGAAAACCGATGAAATATAGAGAAGTAAAAATGAGAGATATAGAATGAATTAAACTGTCTTTTATTATCTGTGTAATTCAAGCACCGAAATAACACTGACAATTTTTTATGTGTACTGTCAAACACAACTTGATTTCTAAGAATAAGAATTACAGACCATAAACCATGGAAAAAGAATTGAATTTTGAAATATGAGACATCAAGAAAGCAGATAATACTCACATACATATATACATTTAAAGACTCTACTCTCTAATACTCGCATGAAGTCTAACATATGGACTATTGTAAAATGTAGAGAATTGAACTTGAAATTGCAAGTATAAATAGGTGACATCAGTCTAAGTTACTCAAGTAAATGACTTTACTATAGGATAAACTAGAAATTGTATGAGTTACAATTTCTGATGTATGAGTTGTATCGTATGATGTCGTATACTAATATATGATGATTATGAGTTATGATAATGTATGAGTTATGATGCTTGATGATATGCGTAATATATATAGTTTGATGTATGACGTACTTGATATGCTAATACTTTCCATATTAAGCATGATATATAACGATGAGTGTCATATTACATCATGTTGATAGACTGATATAGGACACAACCCTAAGAGCATGAAAATGATATTAATGTAAATATTCAACGAGCATGTGTAACTTAATGTAACAAAGAGATAAGACTAGAGGCTTGTGTTAGAAGAGACGATGGAATTTAGAGGGAACCCATGCATATTGTATGTTCATCAGCATAGGAATACTTCCCCGAAGAGGATGACTGCAATCACACACAATATGGTGATGAGGGTGTTCATGCAGAGCATGACACTATGGGGTTTCACTGACCTCTGGACCTCCCTACAGGTTAGCTTGACTAGAGAGGGTCCAAGGGGTGTGCAAGCCCCCTGGGGATTCACTCTCGCACATGTGAGTCGTGTGTAAAGAAGTACTACACATCTATAGTAGTTTGAGACTGAAGGCCACCCTTAGAGAATAAAGATAGGTCCTAAGGGCATGATTGCATGTGTTTGCATTTGCATAACCCCCTATAGTGGGGCCACTTACTGAGTATCCTTCGAAATACTCAGGCCGTGTGCCACATCATTTTCAGGTAAAGGCAAGACGCACATGTACGGAGAATGGCAGCGTCACAAGCAGAGACTGTGGCACGTGCATAGGGTAGACTCATATTTATATTTCATCGTTTTTAAATTATTTTGTATTTTCTCTAAATTTTAGTTTTTCATATTTAAACACGTAAGATCATGATTATGTTTAGAAGAGAAAATGATGTTTTAAATGCTTTCAACATTTATATGATATAGATGATGTTTTCTTTTATGAGTTATATTTTCGCATTAAAGATGAACACAAGGGATAGTAATGATTCTGAGTATGTAGAAATTTAGGATCGTTACACTTGGAGATTGAAGAAAAGGAGGGTTCTGCATAAAAACTCACCGAGGAAATTAGTGGACATTAAAGGTTGTCAAATATATTCCTTGTCTAAAAAAAACCTGATCTCTATTGGTCACCACAAGTTATGCAACAGAGTTTGGGAAGAGTTCATGGAAGATGGTAAAGGGTGCAATGGTGGTAGCATGTGACACAAAAAATTTGGAACCTTATGCACCACTATAGGGTTTATAAACATGGTTGTTGTTGCGGAGAGTGCTTTAAATTCGAGTCTATGACACAATAAACTTAGACATATGAGCGTCAAAGGAAAAAAAAGATAACGGTTGCGAAATAAGTTTTAGAAGGTTTGAAATCTGTTGATATGAGTTCTTATGAAAGCTGTGTTATGAGCGGAAAAAATTGCAGTTGAAAATAGTGTTGGGATTTATGCCCTAAAACCCAGTAATTAACTATTTAGTTTTTAAAAATAATTTT